CCACCTCCCTACGACCCTTTCCACCACGACCACCTCAAATGACCTCCTCTATCACACCATCTCCCCTACGACCCTTTCACCACGACCCTACGATCCTTTCACCACGACCACCTCCCACGACCCTTTCACCACGACCACCCTACACCCTTTCACCACGACCACCTCAAATGACCTCCTCATTCACGACCATCTCCTTACGACCTTTCACCACGACCAATTCTTACGACTTCACCACGACCACCTCCCTACGACCCTTTCACCACAACCACCTCCCTACGACCTCATCAATGACCACCTCATGATCTCATTACTTTACTACCATCTCCTGGCCACTTTTTCACCACCACCCAGCGAGTAAGCAAACTGTATATCACTGTCTAGCCAGTGGTGTGGGCGGGAGGTAGGCGTGGTTGAAGGGGAGGCGTGGGGGGAGGGATGCGTGGGTGGGAGGGGAGGTGTGGGCAGGAGGGAGGCGTGGGCGGGTAAAGAGGCGTGGGCGGGAGGAGGCGTGCGGAAGGGAGGCGTGGGGCGGAGCACGTGGGTGGGCTCTCTCTCCTTCCTGGGAGGGAGGCCGGAAGCACTGGTCTCCCTCCTCCTCCTTCTTTCTCCTCCCTCCCTCTCAGCAGGAAGAGAGAACCGTGAAACCAACACCGCAGAAAACACACACACACACACACACACACACACACACACACACACACAGGAAGTAAGTGTCATACAGAAGGTCATTCATTAGATACTATGACGGTCCCACGTGTCCCCCTCCCCTTCCTGGGTAAGTGGCACACACTCACTTGTACACACACACACACACACACACACAATACCTATACACATTCTCCAAGAAACAAATACACACATTCATACCGGTATATCTACACATACGCACATCCACCCATACACCCCATAACATACATACATACATACACATACAATACCCCCAAACACTTGTGTTATTCACCATCAAGAACAGCAAGTAATTCACCTGCAAACATGACATCACATCCGGTTCATTTACAGAGATAATTAAAACTCTTAGCACTCTATAATGTACAGATGATGACGTGACACCTGTATCTAGTACCTAGTTACTAACTGCACCTGTATCTAGTACCTGTCCTACTAAACTTCTGTACCTGTATCTACTACCTGTACCTGTATCTAGTAATTTGTATTTACTAACTGTACCTGTATCTACTAACTGTAACTGTATCTAGTACCTGTATTTACTAACTGTACCTGTATCTAGTACCTGTATCTAGTACCTGTATTTACTAACTCTATTGTATTTACTAACTGTACCTGTATCTACTAACTGTACCTGCATCTAGTACCTGTATCTACTAACTGTACCTGTATCTACTAACTGTACCTGTATCTACTAACTGCACCTGTATCTAGCACTGTATCTACTAACTGTACCGTATTCACTAACTGTACCTGTATTTACTAACTGTACCTGTATCTAGTACCTGTATTTACTAACTGTACCTGTATTTATGTACCTGTATCTACTAACCTGTACCTGTATCTAGTACCTGTATCTACTAACTGTACCTGTATCTAGTACCTGTATCTACTAACTGTACCTGCATCTACTAACCGTATCTACTAACTGTACCTGTATCTAGTACCCATCTACTAACTGTACCTGTATCTAGTACTGTATCTACTAACTGTACCTGTATTCAGTACCTGTATCTACCAACTGTACCTGTATCTAGTACCTGTATCTACTAATCGTACCTGTATCTAGTACCTGTATCTACTAACTGCGCTCCGTATCTAGTAACTCGTATCTAACTGTACTCAATCTACTAACTGTACCCGTATCTAGTACCTGTATTTACTAACTGTACCTGTATCTAGTACCTGTATCTACTAACTGTAATTCTGCATCTAGTACCTGTATCTACTAACTGTACCTGTATCTAGTACCTGCATTTACTAACTGTACCTGTATCTACTAACTGCACCTGCATTCAGTACCTGTATCTACTTGTACCTGTATCTACTAACTGTACCTGTATCTAGTACCTGTATCTACTAACTGTACCTGTATCTAGCACCTGTATTTACTAACCGTACCCATATCTAGTACCTGTATCTACTAACTTCGTATTTACTCCTGTATTTACTACTGTACCTTATCTACTAACTGTACCTGTATCTAGTACCTGTATCTACTAAGACTTTGCATTTCTAACTGTACCTGTATTTACTAACTGTATCTACAAACTGCACCTGTATCTAGTACCTGTATCTACTAACTGTACCTGTATCTAGTACCTCGTATCTACTAACTGTACCTGTATCTAGTACCTGTATCTACTAACTGTACTCTTATCTAGTACTCCATATTTACTAACTGTACCTGTATCTAGTAACTCGTATTTACTAACTGTACCTGTATCTAGTACCTGTATCTACTAACTGTACCTGTATCTAGTACCTGTATCTACTAACTGTACCTGTACTCTACTAACTGTACCTGTATCTAGTACCTGTATTTACTAACTGTACCTGTATCTAGCAAGTACAGTATCTACTAACTGTACCTGCATCTAGTAATTCTGTATCTACTAACTGTACCGTATCTAGTACCTGTATCTACTAACTGTACCTGTATTCAGTCACCTGTATCTACTAACTGTACCTGTATTCACTACGTACCTGTATTTACTAACTGTACCTGTATCTAGTACCTGTATCTACTAACTGTACCTGTATCTAGTACCTGTATCTACTAACTGTACCTGTATCTAGTACCTGTATCTACTAACTGTACCTGTATCTAGAATTCGTATCTACTAACTACCTGTATCTAGTACCTGTATCTACTAACTGTACCTGTATCTAGTACCTGTATCTACTAACTGTACCTGTATCTAGTACCTGTATCTACTAACTGTACCTGTATCTAGTACCTGTATCTACTAACTGTACCTGTATCTAGTACCTGTATCTACTAACTGTACCTGCATTCAGTACCTGTATCTACTAATCACCGTATCTAGTACCTGTATTTACAACGTACCGTATCTAGTACCCCTATCTACTAACAATTGATCAGTACCTGTATCTACTAACTGTACCTGTATCACCTGTATTTACTAACTGTACCTGTATCTAGTACCTGTATCTACTAACTGTACCTGTATCTAGTATCTGGTATCTACTAACTGCACCTGCATCTAGTACCTGTATCTACTAACTGTACCTGGTATCTAGTACCTGTATCTACTAACTGTACCTGCAGTATCTAGCAAGTACTGCATTCACTAACTACCTGTATCTAGTACCCGTATCTACTAACTGTATTCCTGTATCTAGTACCTGTATCTACCAATTGTACCTTGCATCTAGTAATCTGTATTCTACTAACTGTACCTGTATCTATAATAACTGTACCTGTATCTACCTGTATCTACTAACTGTACCTGTATCTAGTACCTGTATCTACTAACTGTACCTGTATCTAGTACCTGTATCTACTAACTGTACCTGTATCTAGTACCTGCATCTACTAACTGTACCTGTATCTGCACTATATCTTACTAACCGTACCTGTATCTAGTACCTGTATCTACTAACTGTACCTGTATCTAGCAATCTGTATCTACTAACTGTACCTGTATCTAGTACTGATTCACTAACTGTACCCGTATTCAGTACCTGTATCTACTAACTGTACCTGTATCTAGTACCTGTATCTACTAACTGTACCTGTATTTAGTACCTGTATCTACTTTGTACTTATCTAGTACCTGCACTACTAACTGTACCTGTATCTACTAACTGTACCTGTATCTAGTACCTGTATCTACTAACTGTACCTGTATCTAGTACCTGTACCTGTATCTAGTACCTGTATCTACTAACTGTACCTGTATCTAGTACCTGTATCTACTAACTGTACCTGTATCTAGTACCTGTATCTACTAACTGTACCTGTATTATTGTCTCTTATCTTATAAACAAAAAACAAATGAACATCACTCAACTAAAATAACTGTAAACATGACGTCATTCCCAGTTAATTTTTCCAGTTAAGATTTCTCGACTGGGAGAACTTGAGCAATATTCGACTGGCACTAAAAAACTAACTGTATTCACCTCAATATTTACAGCTCATTTCTCCAGTTAAAAATCTCGACCACACATTAACGTACCGGTCATGAATGCATTTCCTCACTAGGTCATAAACAGAGGGGGGTGGGGAGGGGGAGGGGGAGGGGGAGGGGGAGGGGAGGGGGGGAGGGGGAGGGTGGGTGGTGGCAGCTGTGTGAGGGGTGTAGGCCTACCAGCAGCTGATCACAGGGACTAGCGTGTCGACACGTGGGTCTGGCTTTTGTGTGATGGTTACTGATCAATACGTGAGGGTGAGGTGAGGTGGACGGCTGTGTGTGTGTGTGTGTGTGTGTGTGTGTCCCTCATCACCGTCAAAACACTACTACATCCTGCCCCTCACACAACACACGGCAGGAATCAATCACTCCACTTCCTGTTCTTAATGGGAGGACCCCCCCTCCCCCTCCCCTCTCTCCCCCCCAAAACGTTCTGAAAACCCCGCCCCTCACAACGCTCCGTCAACACTGCACATAAAACAACAACAATGACATCAACACCAGTACGTGGAGTGAGCGTGCATTGTTGCCTGAGCTGCCTGCTGCAACACTGCCAACTATGTACGCGTAGTCTATTTATGCAACAAGAAAGAACCATAATGAAAGTGTCCGGGCAAGTATCCCCACGAGGTGGCTTAGGGAAGGGGGAGTAGGGATTTATTTTGGACTGTAACAAACATGGAGTGGGAGGAGGTTACATGGTTCACAGGACTGGTACAGTTATATTAAAAAATATACATGTGAAAAATAAATACATGAAAACTTTATACAGCAGCAAAATGCAGCGCCAAAAGAGCTAGTCAGTATCTAGAGGCCACACCATGCAAGTTCTTCTACTCGGTACAGTACAGTACAGGAGCAGGATGAGCGTAACTACTCTATGAGCATCAACAGGCAGAGTAGGGTAGAGGAGCCAGCGTTAGTGGAGCATGAAGGAAACGGGCGGCTGGGGTAGCAGAGCGCCGTTGTGGGTGGGTTGGCGGAGATAGAGCAGAGCGCAGCGCGCAGAGGGTCACCCAGGGGACAAGACTGACCTGGGTCGTGAGGCCGGGCGGGGATGTCGGGGTTGATGGCGGCCTCAGCGACGGCCAGGAGTTGCATGGCCTCGGGGTCGTGGTCGTCCACAGCGCGTCGTAGTAGCGTGTACTCGTCCACCACCTCCTCATAGTCGTGTTCGTGGTAACCTGTTGAGCCCTCGCCACCGCCCTCCGACCCGGCCGTCAGAGCTGAACCAGAACTGCTCTGGCTGTCTTGGTGGCTGTCACGCCGGCCGGAGGCGGTGGCGGCGTGGATGTTGGCGGCGATGTACGTGGTTGGGAGCCCTGTCAGGTAGGCGTGCACTTCAGGGCGCACTCTAATCCTCACTACCTGTCCGCTGCTCCTCCCCGCCACTGTTAACACTGTACTCTCGTCGTCGTTGGTACCTCTGCCCTCGGGCCTATGTGTCGCGCCCGGGGCAGAAGTAACCCCGTTTTTTGACTGGGCACTGCGATTAGAGGGTGACGCTGAGGGTTGCTTGAGCACTCCCTGTACGGGTGTGCCGCCACCCGCTGACCGAGGAGACCCGTGCACTCCAGGGTTAACTCCGACGACACTAGCACGTGGCACAGCACTGATCGCACGCGTCACGCGCTCCCCCGAGGCGGGTTGGGCTCCTCCCCCTCCCCTTTCACCCCTCCCCCTGGCGTCCGTCCCAGGCGCCGCCCCCGCCGCACTATCATTGTGTTTGTGAACTAGTTGGTACGAGCGGTCAACGTCGCGGCTGGGCAGCGCCGGCGTGGACTTGATGGTGACGAGGGCGGGGGTGGGCATCCACTCGAGCTTTGACCCTCCGCCGGGCAGGTTCACCCACACCAACGACCCACTTCTCTGGTCCTCCACACGCTTCTTATCTCCGGGAGGGGGTGGACCATATTTGGCCCCGCCTCCTGGTTGAGGTTTCCATACCGCGACAGTCTGAGAGTCAGATGCACTAGAGGGCTGCTGCCTTTCCTTCTCACTTACACCACCACCACCACCTTTAGGTTTATCTTTCACGAGCTCTCCTGACTTCTCTCTCGCCCCTCCTTGGCCTCGATCACGCACTTTGTCCTTTGATTCCTTCGCTCGGGTCGGACTAGAATGAACACTAGGCTGACACTTAGTAGTCGCGGGGACTTCCTGTACGGTCTTCTTGGCTAGGTCCTGTGGCGGAGCCTTCTTGGGAGGTTCCTCTTGTTTACGGCTGGAGTATTTGTGTGGTTGACCACTCAGTCCCTTCCTCTCACGAGCATCTGCATACACCAAGTCCTTAGGCGGCGCTGAAGGTGGCGGGCTCTCTGGCGACAGTGGCGCGCCTTTCTCGGGATAGGTTGGCAGAGCCTTCCCTGGCGTAGCAGGCGACTTTGAGTCGTAAGCAGGTGTAGGAGTCTTCTGTGTAGTGAGAGGTTTAGTGTGGGAGGAAGAAGATGGTTTCTTCTCCGGCGGGGGAGGTTCCTTCTTCTCGGGAGAAGGCGTGGGGGGTCCGGAGAGGGGGGGAACGACGGATGTGAGTTTAGGTTGATTGAAGGATGTGATGGTCACCTTCTTGGGCTGGTCGTTAGGTTGCGCGGGTGTGGGCGGCGCGTGAGAGGTAGTGTAGCGGGGCGCGCCGCTCCCTAAACCTGACTGATTGCCAGGCGGCCCTGGAGCAGCGCGACGCGTATGTGGGAGCTGCTGCTGCTGCTGCTGCTGCTGCTGGGGCAGGAAGTGGTGCTGCTGGAGGAGTAGCGGCTGGTGGCGAGGCTGGTGCAGGAGTGGTGGCTCGGCGGCGCGCTCGTCCCACGTGACGCGCAGCCCAGGACTGCCGCCACCACCGCCGCTCGGCCCCCTCGCGCCCCCCATCCCTGCCCCCACACCACCCAACACCCCACCACCTCCTGTCCCCCCTATGCCGTACCCACCGTCACGCCCACCGTCAGGTTCAGGCAGATTCTCTCGAATCTTGGGGAGGGGGGTACGCCTCTTTAAGCTCTCGCTCTCCAAGCTCGTCAGTTCGTCGTCTCCTTCGTCACCACTCTGCATCTTCCGCTGCTCCGCCGCCTTCCAGTCCCACCAGTTGCGGCCCCTTCGTCCCTCCACCCTGGGCTTGGTCTTGTGCTCCCAGCTGGTGCTGGTGGAGATGGTAGGGTGTGCTGCCTCGCCCTCCTGTGACCCGCTGCTGTCCTGCAGACTAGGTAGAGAGGAAAAGCTATGTTGTGAGGCTGGACTGTCCCGTAGATCGGCGTCCCCTACAGGGTCGTCCTCACCATTTTTATCATCGTGTGGTCTTCCTCCTCCTGCCTTAGTGCCCTCCACCCCTTCCATGCTTCACACTGTGTCCCTCTGGGTATAAGCTACTCCTCTACACCCCCCA